ACCCCATCTTTGAATATGCATAAAAGTTCCACCCAATACAAGAGATTGGAAAGTCAGATTATAAAGACTAATCAAATAGTCTTATGAACCAAATCAGTCACAAAATGATGATTATGATTCAATTTTAACTTATAATCAAATAAACTTAATACAAGTACCAAAACTGTTTAATTAAATTACAAGGTAAAAAGTTTGTTTTTATTTAATATTGTATAATAAATGTAACCGTTCCGACGATCATAAATTTGTTTAGTAATGTTCACATGCTAGCTTGTAGCACGAGCTATGCAATAAATAATATTTTTATTGACCATGGGAATTCATATTAATATTAATATGTACATAAGTATGTTACATAATACATTACACAAATAACACAAACAAATAATAATTTAAATATCTTTCCAAATGTGGAGATTTTTTTATATATAATCTATTAATCTAACGCAAATACTCAATCAATTCCAATGTTTCAGCATCTGGTGAATAACTTTTCGTAATAAATATAATTAATTTTACTACACGCCTTTTCTTTTTATTAGTATTATTTTTTTTACGTCTTTTGTTTCCAAAAAATTCTTATCGTTGTCATTATTGATTATTAGCAATGAATGAAATAGATCAAAACCCAAAACCTCAAAAGGCTGGCAGTCAACCACGGTAAGTTACTAATTTTATTACTTGTAATGAATGAATTAATGAAGGATTGAATGTACTGAACAAAAAAAAATTTTATAGAAAGAAATCAAATGATAATAATAAATCAAATGATGATAATAAATCATTTGGTGATTCGCCAACTCTTCCACCAATTTCAAATGAAAATGTCGTAGAAATTTCCAATCTAGATCCTTCCCCTCTTTCAACATCACCAACAACATCTACACCACCATTTAACAACATTGCTGCCGTAAATTCTTCTTTAAAAGTATCCAAAAGTCTTGAGTCCATAAAGACGATTAATAATAATTCAACATCAGCGTCATCATCATCAACAGCTAGAAGACCAACCAAGACAGGACTTCATTTAGAATCTCCCCCATCTTCATCTAACCTTGCTGTAAATTCACAATATACTATTTATTCACCTCCTTTCCACCACCATCAAGTGACCTCTCCTAGAACCTCTCCTCCTCTTTTTACTACAACTTCTTCTTCTCAACCATCACAAAACTCCTTTCCAACTTCAGGCCCATTATCTCCTAAACTTTTGACTCATAAACAAGTATCAAATCAACAACATGGTATTATACAATACAACCAGAATAACCAAAATGATCAACAAATCAACAAAACCGTTCAAACTATTATGACTAACAATAATAATAATAATAATCAATCAAGAAAACATAGTGGTACTCTTAATAATAACAACCATAATAATCGAGGAGATGGTAGGCGACATAACAATACAAATGAACAGCAACAGCAACAGCAACAACAACAGCAACAGCAACGGCAAAATTCTCTAAGATTAATTGAACCTGCACCTGCACCTTCTATGTATTGGTCAAAAATAAAAACAAATGGTAAACTGCCTAAGGCTTTAAGAGCACACTCGGTAAATCTGGTTGGTGAGTTGATGTACGTATTTGGAGGATGTGATTTACATACATGTTTCAATACTGTCTATGTTTTTGATGCTGGTTAGTTCACTTTATATTATCATTACTATTATTTTGAGTAAATGTATTCATTTGTTCATTCATTTGTATATTTATATATCATGAAAATTTAGATACTATGTATTGGAGTAAACCAAGAGTTAGCGGAGAAGTGCCACCACCATGTAGGGCACACTCTTCAACACATGTAGATAAAAAATTATTCATATTTGGTGGAGGAGATGGTCCAGTATATTTTAATGATTTATATATTTTTGATACAGGTACACCATTAAATTGACGAATATTATTATTATTTATAATTATTAATAATATGATGAATAAAATATATTATTGGAAATTTTGTTTTATAGAAACATTAACATGGTTTAAGCCTCCGACAACTGGAGATACTCCATCGCCACGTAGAGCACATACCACAGCATACTACAACAATAGTATTTATGTGTTTGGTGGTGGAGATGGTGCACGAGCTCTCAACGATGTCTATATGCTGGATATATCTGATTTGAATAAATTAGTTTGGAAAAAAATAGAAACTAATGGAATTGCACCGATTTCTAGAGGATATCATACTAGTAATTTGGTTGGAAGCAAGTTGGTCGTTTATGGCGGAAGTGACGGCCATGAATGTTTTAGTGATGTTCATATCTTGGATTTAGGTAATTATTAGCAGTAGTTATAAACAATTATAGGATTAATCAGTACGAAATAATAATAGTAAATAATAATGATAATAATAATAATAATAATAATAATAATAATAATAATAATAATAATAATAATAATAATAATTGATGTTTCTTAACTGTATAAACAGAAAAAAATAAATGGACTAAAGTTCATAATGGAAAAGCCAATCCAAGACTTTCACATACATCAACTGGTGTTGGATCGTATTTATTTATTGTTTGTGGTCATGATGGTACAAGATATACATCTGAATTACTGTTGCTAAATTTAGGTATTTTCATTACTTTATATATTAAATATATTATTAAACAAACGTAAAAAAAATTAATAATATATTTATATTTAAAATATAAAGTTACAATGGAATGGGAGAATCGTAAAGTTTATGGAACACAGCCAACTGGACGCGGATATCATACTACAATATTGTATGATTCAAGACTTTTTGTGTTTGGAGGATATGATGGAAAAGTTGTATATGATGATGTATACGTTTTAGATTTGTCTGCACATGCCTATTTACCTCAAATCACCAATTTTGAACTTCCTGATCTATCACAATAATTTATAATGTAAAATACACACATAATTTTAAAAAAATATATATCCAACTTTACACATTCTTTAATATTAGATGAATGTAATCACTATTACATATATATATTTATATATATTGTTTATAAATCCTTTATTATTTATTTTATTTAATTTTAATGCTTTTAATTTTGTATTTTGTATTTGTAGATTATTAAAAAAAAAAAAGAAAATAATATTAATGTTTTAAAGATTATTTCAATGCCACAACTGTAATTTTTTATAGTGATGCTATTTACTTCTACGTTATCCGGTCAAAAATACATCCGATGGACTTTACCGGATAATCTGTAGGATTGACTAATAAAGTTATTTTAATGAACATTATTAATAAAATATGTAAATAAAAAGAAAAGAATTTAGTGAAAAAATCAAAAGGTGTTCCATGTAAAGATGAAGCAAAGCTCAAAATGGTTTTTATACTAAAATTCTAAAGCCAAGAAAGAAAAGAGAAACGATTTTAAAAGTCCAATTGGTTACCTACGAGTTGAGTTTAAAGTAACTCAACTTTACAACTTTGACAGTTTTCGAACATTTCAAAGACAAATTGCAAAACCATTTTTTAAACATGGAAAAAAATCACAAAATCGTGACGCGTTCAAGTAATAAATTTATTTTGAATGAAAAATTATGGTAACAATTATCTCACTTGTGCGCAAATCATGCTCACTTGACTGTTTTAACTATTGCTATTACTATTACGGATATTCGGATCAATCACAATTCTGCATCGTGCGATTCCGCTTTCAATACCATGAAGTTTTACAGAAATCGAATTTTTTGAAGCAAAAGATGAATGATTAACAAAGTATGTGTGATGTGTAAAAAGATGAAAACTCCAGACTTCAGCCAAAGAAAGCCCTTTTAAATATATATCTTCGACATGATTTATATCCTGCTGGTAACCTGAAAATATTTCTACTATCTTCATCTAAATGACTTCTACTAATAACACAGTTGTGATTATTATGGAGGTCTAAAGAAAGTTGAAAGAACTGGTACGGATTGATTATGCCCACCTTGGTTGGAAGTGTATGAAATCTTGTCCTTTCCAGTGTTCCACTAATAGCAAAATAAATAAGTAAACGAGTAAAAGTGAAGAATCGCGCTGTATATTATATCAAAATTACCCTCCCCTCTTGCGGTTTCCGACTAACCATTACAAAATTATCAGTAATCTGCTCGTGGACCTTCGCTGCCGTATGGTTCCGCAATTGTGTTGCCTTCATAACAGATATTAAAAATAATGGTGATGAAAAAAAAAGTACCTTCATATATTTAATTCCGGCCAATTTATACAGATATTTTTTCTTATTCTGAAAGGTAAACCCGAGTTTCTGTCTTTATCTTTGTGTTTTTCAAGATCCACTAATAAAATGAGGTGGAAAAAACAAACTTAACAGATAATGGCGAACGAATAGTCCATTAGCGAGCCGCAGGAAGCTGAAGAGAAGGACTGGCGAATAGTCACTTGACGCAGTCCAAATCAGAAGAGCAGATAAAAATCTTCACATACATAATTATATCCAATTGTTCATACAAAGAAGCTACGAATCTTGCTTTTCATACGCCTCTTAGGAATTGATTGTTTTCAACACTTTCAAGACTCTCCTGCAAAGATTTCGTTTTACACGCAATTCATCAAGAGCCCAGTTTATCGGTAACTTCTAAATAGTTTTAGTGTCGATCAATTTTTACCTAATACTAAAAATTAGTTGAATGTGAACATGGTAATAACAGGGTTTATGCCCCTGAAATTTATAATTGTCCATTTTGTCTGTATAGTGTATGCACATACAACTCATTAATTAATATTCTTAAATAAAAGAAATTGATTTTTTTTTTGCTTGCTGTTGTGATTATAGAAATAGAAATTTTATTATTGCCAATTACGATTATTATTACTTCACTACTACTAATAAAATAAAATATTATTATTAAAGATTATTACTATAAAGAAGCTAAAAAATATATATATATACAAATTTCTTCTTTTTTTAATCATTGATTGATCAAATGAAATTTTGACAATATAGAGATATAGATAGAGAAAAGAATGAGTCATAAATCGAAATGAAATGCAACCAATTAATTATTTGTTCCGGAAACTTTGGCTCTTTTTTTTGCCCTAGAAGAACCACCATGACTCATCGACTCGTTTTTAATTAAAATACCATCAGGAACCAATGGGGTTTGATTGTGTTGTGATGAAGTAGATAAAGAAGAGACAGAGTAGGAAGAATTATTTGCTAGTTCCGGTTCTGTTATATATTCAGATTCCATACCATCAATGAAGCTTTTTAAAGTGAGATACACTTTGTTATTGAATCTAATGTCATCGTGACTTTGACGAACATGTTTCTTCATGGCCAATAGACGACTTTGATATTGAGGGATTGGTAGATTAGGATATTTTGCAATCATATAGGTTAAAAAAACGAATTCTATAGGAGCCAATCTATTATCTTTGTGAAACACATCAGCATTATCAGCTATCATTTCTTCAAGTGTTTGATAAATCCTATCTGCAACCATTTTTAGATCCGAGGGTATTACGCGTTCTTCCTTTAAGAATTTTGCTATAGTGGTAGGTGTTGCATTGAATCTATCAGGTTCATGCTCGATCATGTGTAATGATTGTGTTATCAATTGAAATGGCCTAGCTCGTTTTGTATCCATTATTAGTGATATTTGGGGATATTTAATGAAGATAGAGTGTGCGTAATCAGCCATTGGGCTGCTAATAGCTTGTAATTTTTCGGCTGGCGTCAAGGCAACACCTAATTGGACCCTACTAAAAATTTCCTGTTCTTGTTGCAATGAAAGATCATAATATTCAACTACAAAATAAATAAGATAGTGTGAATGGTGGTGCGATGATCATTTGTGAGATTGGTTATAATATATAAATGTAAATGCATGATGATATGAAATATGCTTACCACAAAGCAATTCAGAACAATCGAATAATTCTCTTTCAGCCTCGCTCAATGCCTTTTTACCATTAGTATTTTTATAAAATTTTTTAGAAATATTACCATCTGATGGGCTACTATGTGGAATTTCATTGTCCATATATCTATTATTTGTGAATATATTATATATGAGGGATGAATGGATGAATGAATGAATGGACGAATGGATGATTTTGTGAGTTTAGCAAGTTGCAAAAGATTGGTAATAAGAATATAGGTTGATAAAATTGTTCTACTTACTTTCTGATAGCAGTCAACCTTTGTTTACCATCAATACATACTCTGATCCATTTTTTGTTATCTAACTTTTTACAAGAAAAAATTATTGGTGGAACGTAAAAGTTGTTAAGGATTGAATCTATTAGATGAGATTGTTTAATTGCTATCGGAAAAATTTTTTTAGACAATCATCAGAATGGATTCATTGAATATTTGATATTAATAGACGGAATTTAACATAATGCTATATCAATAAATTACCTGTCCATACAACATCTGATATATATGAAGCGTGGCGTAGAAATTATTAGTAAATTTTTGTTTATTGATATTTATTAAATGCCATACATACGCATATATAATTATATCTATCTATCGACTGTAACATATATAGTGCAAAAAGACAAGCAAGGCATTACCTCTTTGGAATTCAGGATTAAGATCAATTATTTCCATTTGTAACCAGTTATATAATTTATATAAGGTATGAGTAACATTCCTTGGTTTAGTAAGTGCTTCTTCCATGGTTAGTTAAGCTATCTGCCAATATTATGAAAGTTTGTCAATACAGTATTATATTAAATGTGGGTGGTTAGGAAAGCGGAAAGAAAAAAAATTGAAAAATTTTGTGGGAAAAGCAAATCTTTTTATTTATAGATCTATTTTTTTTTTCTTTGAATTTTATTAATATTAATAGAAATTTGATTGGCCAATACTTTTACTAATACATATTAAGACTAAATACACTTTAAATCATTGTACTGCGTATTTTATTAGCATGCTCCACCTTATTATGGTTTGATGATGGCGTTGGGTGCAGTTGAAGTATTTCGTTGTGTCGTAATTATTGAATTTATTCTTTGGACGTGCATTCATCACTAGTTCAAGTCTCAGCTTCTTCTCTATTAAACATTCTTTAATAGCAACCTACAAACAGAGCGTTCATTAGAAAATAATGACATCAAAATAAATTCACTATTGTTGCTGAGGAATATTTTTGTCGAACTTGCCTTCACTTTCCATGTGACTGATAATAAAGGAATGTCTCTTTGGTACGTATATATTTAATCAATGTATTTTCACTTTCAGCAACTTTATATATTCATTTACGGCAGTGCTGGGATTTGTACACTCTGGACGAGACAATTTGAGCATTTGTAAAATAATTGTTATACTATCCAAAACAAAAGATATAAAGAAAGATACATTAAATAAAGATGCCGTATCCCAACAATGGTGTCCAAATCATCAATTGACTAATGATATAATATTTGTTGAGAATAATTCTAATAGTCAATTTAATAAAAAAAAGTTTCAATATAAAGCATGCAGAGACGTTCTTGGTGATAATACACAAATTTTTACTAGTAAAAAGCAGCGTGTTAAATCATTTGGAAAAATGTGGGTATTTTAAAGAAAAATGGAACGAGGAAAAAACAAATGAAATTCTTTATGATACTGGTGAGACTGAAAGTTCTGATGATGATAAACAAAAAAAGAAGACGGCATTCTGGTAAATAATTCAAAGTATTTTTTTTAAATTTAAAATTTTAACATTTTGGAACATAATAAAAAAATGAATTTAAAATTCGTGCAACAATTGTGTATAAACTTTTCAAAGAAATTGGGTAATAGTAATAGTAAAATACGTAGTTTACCCATGCCCAAAATACCCAAAATGCACAACTTCCAGCAAAAATAGCCTTCAGGACCATCTAATTCCACAACCTTTCGAATAACGCAAAAAAAATCTTCAAGTTATTTGACTGATTATTTTACTTATTCTCCATATTCTCCATATATGAATCCATGGTTTTGGATCGATGGTAGGCAGTGTAACGTTTAAATTTTCATCAACTTGGATAATAATAAAATAAAATCTGCGGAATTTTATACAAACTTTTCTAAAAATACATTGTGAAAATATCGAGAGGCTATACCTTTTCGAATTCATCATAGGCTCGAAATTCGCCGAATTTTACTCTTGAGTGTAACATAAATTTATTCAAATAAATAATATTTTCCCCCCTTTTTAATTTTTTTTTGTTCTATTTTTTAAAAAATCACAAAATTATAACTATAACCATTACCGGCTACGTCATACGAAACACCATCATTATCATCTACCAATTAATTTAACTAATCAACTAACGACTCTTTGCCTGCTATTTTTTTTAAAAAATGGACAAACAAGAACAAAACATTTCAAGTAATGAAGAAGAGAGCATCATTGTTGAGGAAGTGGAAATCGTAGACTTGGACTATTTTGAAGAAGAGGACGAAAAAAACAATAAACCTCACCAAGTAGGAGTATTATTACCATCATTAGAAGATGTGATAACAGTCGACCAAGAAATAAAAGAAAATCAAAATTTGTTTCAATTGAATTACAAAAGAATAGCCAATGAAATTTCAATTATTAAAGGAGTAGAAGAAGAAATTGCAGTAAAGGAAGAATTTATAGGATCGATTGAAAATTTAATTAATTGGATGAACTCTCAATTTAATAAAAATTTGATCGACAATCAATTATTAAAACCACTTGTTGATAATAATGAATTTATTATTGATTTAGATTCAATAAATTCTTTGGATGAATTATTATCAAGATTAGAATCCGAATTAGTAATTAAACACACTGATGAATTCAATAGATTAATAGATGAAAATAACAACGATAATAATAATAAAAAGGAAATTTTAGAATCTTTAAACTTTTTATGTGGAATTTTTAAAAATTTACTAAAATTGTCAAAATTAAAATTACAAGAATTAAATTGGACTTCTAATTTAATACAGAAAATGCAAGAGGTTGACATTGAAATTAAAAAGGCCGAAGCAATGTTAGAAGGTGTTGAAGAATCGAGAAAAAAATCTCATGATGAATCTTCAACTACTCCAACAAGAAATAATAACAATGATATAAATAATGGTGTTCCATTAACATATTCACCAAATTCAAGTATGACGAATCTCAATAACACCACTACTCCTATAATAACTAATGCAACAAATGCAACTTCATTAGTACCATCACCTCCATCGATTACTACTTCTTCTTCCATAACTGCTGGTGAAGTCATAACCAGTATTGTATTCTCTTCTTCACTATTAGATGAATGGTACACAAAAATAGTTGCCGCTGATGAAATATTTAAACATCAAGTATATGAACAAGTTAAAGAGCTAATCAGCCTCTATCAACATGAAAAATTCAGAGCTCCAATAAATGTAGTTGATCATGTAATAGAAATAGTAAATAACATCATCCCTCTATTTAGTGATAAAATTTCTTCAATTCGTCAAACTTTATCTCATGATAGACATATAGGAAGGTGGTTTGATAGTTTAAATGAATCAGACAAATGGATCTCTGATATATCCAACAAAGTAAGACAGTTAGAAGTACCTGATCTAATAAATAAACATGATTGGACTGATGAAAAACAGAATATTGAAAATTTTATCCAAGAACGTTGTCAAGTAATTAATGAAATAAAACAAGATGTTTTACAATTTGAAGATGAACGTATTTGTAATTTAGAACGCAAATCAAATGATCTCTATTTAATGATCCTAAATTACCAACCTTCCAACCACTCCTCCCCTAATGTCACCAACACCAATGACACAAACACTATATCAAACTCTTCAATGATCATTCAAAATCCTCAAGAGGATTCAATAGTAATAGAATTAATGAAAGGGCAATTAAAAAATCTAAAAGAAAAATTATCAAAATTAAAAAATTCAATTGATAATTTATTGTTACAGACCAATGTTGAAAAAAGTTTAATGATTATTGGAATTTTAGAAAGTTTACAAAGTTTACGTAACGAAATGACTCAAATTCGTAAATCGATCATTGATTATAATGATGCTGATATGGTAAAAGATGATATTATGTATCTTGAAGAAAAAATAAAAAATTTTGAAGAACAATTACCTCTTGAAGCAGAAAACAATTTATATTCTTCCTCTCCTTCAGAAACTTCCGATAACAATAACGATGTTGATCTGTCAACTACAACTACCAATACCATTACCACAAATGATGATGTTATTTCATCAACTACAATTACTACCAGTACCTTTACCACCATAATTACAGTAGCTAATACTACTTCGCCCAGTTTAGTAAAGGCTTTAAAAAATAAGCATAATAAATTATTATCAACTATACAAAATATTAAAATTGCTTTGGCTGAAAACAAATTACAAATGGTTGCCTACTTGTCGCCCTCATCACCCTCCTCTCCTATTTCAGCCAGTTCTGAATTTGATCAATTAATTAACATCATTGAACATAATTTAGAAAATTTCTATACAAGATTGTGTTCTCCCCCAACATACACTTTAGACAGTAAAAGTAAAAGTGGCATTGATGGTGATGAAACTGATGGTGATGGCGATGGCGATGGTGATGTTAATAGTAATAACAATAATAATAATGAAGAAGAAAAAGATTTAGAACAGGCAGAATCTGAACAAATTCATGGTTTGACATGTAATGATGATCATATTGAAGAGTTGAATGAACGCTATGATAAGATAGAATCTGAGTTGATCACATTTGAGAGAAGTTTATGGGTGCAGTTCTGGTTGAAATCTGAATCTGCTAAACGATTACATGGTGAAGAGGTGGTCGAACAAATCAATAAGATGGAAAAAAAATATGCAGATATTAAAAATTTGATTATCTTGCGTCAAAAAGATTTACAAATAATCAAAGAAGGCAGAGAATTTGCAAAGGGTGTTAATGCAATCAGAGATCAACTTGACATTGTAAAGGGTAAGATGAGGCGTCAAGATACAAAGACTGATGCCTCAATACAGGAATTAAATTCTCATATGACTGAAACCTTGGAAATGTTAAAGAATCTTGAATCTGCTTATCAACATTTGTTATCTCCTGATGTTGAAGATAAAAGATATTCTGAAACAATTGTTGAACAACAAAATCAATATAATTTGGTGCAAGCTTGGATTGAAGAAGTAAAAATTTGGTTTAAGGAAGCTGAACGTATGCGTGTGTGGATAGATGGGCGTATTGTAATATTGGAAAATTCTCCTAAATTTGATGCTTTTCAAGAAGATAAAGTACCTGCTACACGAGAACAAGTTGATGAATGGCAGGATGATTGTGATAAATTGGAATTGGAAATTGAGAAATTTGATGCTGAAGATATGACTAGATTAAGAGCCCATGTCAAATCTATCATGGGTGCTAACACCTCTAACAGTGGTGATGGAAGTAATAGCAATAGTAACACTCAGTTTAATGAAGCAATGTCACCTGCTGACACAATGACAATTGCCATCACTCTACAAACACTTAAACAACTTGATAATTTATTGGGATTGTTGAAACAAAGATTAAATGACTTAACTGTGTTGTCACTCAGAGTACAATGGGAACATGAATTTGCTAAAGCTTTAAATAGATGGAATGAATTGATTAACAATATCAAAGATGTTATTGTAAATAAAGTCAGATGGAAACAACCAGTTGGTATCAGAGATGATGATGAATGGCTCATTGATGCTAATCAGCCAAACAATAAAGATCTGTTAATTGAAATAGAATCAATAGTTCAACATATAAAAAAATTTAGAAGTAAAAATATACCCGAAACTGGTCAAATATTAGATGAATTGGTGGAAAACTCATTGGTGGAAGTGCCTGAACATCTACTTATACGACAAGAAAACCTTGAGGAAAGGGACCTGACATTTTTAAAAAATTATTATGATTTTTGCAGAAAAGTTTTACAACAACGTCAAGAAGTTTTAGAGTATGCTCAAGTGAGTAAAACTACTTACATTAATGGGTTAAAATTAAATAGTGAATTAATAGAAGAAGAAAAAAATCCAAAAGGTGGTTCTGTGGAAAAGGAATTCATAGCAAGAGTTGAAGAACTTGGTAAACATATTGAACAAGCTTGGAGTAATATTGGAGAAAAGGTCATATACCCACATCACTCAAATCATGATCAAAATGAAAATCATCTGGTCAAGGAAGGTGTTGATATTTATCATCATAAAATGGAAGATTTGAAACTCAAAGTTAATAAAGCATTGAAAGATTATCAAGATGCTCTTAGACTAATTGAAAAGGAATTGCTCCAAAGATCAGATGAATTGCTCAACAATACTTCCAATTTAGAAGACTGGGTTGATAAAAGATTGGCAATACTTGAGGAACATAGGGTTGATCCATTGACAACTGAATGTTTGTATAATGAAGAACAAGTGAAAGATCTGTTGAAAGAACATGAAGAATTTTTAGCTGAGAATAATAGAGTTGATTTGGATGATATTAATCAAATCAAAGAAGGTATTGAAAAATTAGTTGAGGACATCAAGTCATCAAAATGTGATGATATTGTTAATCAGAAACATTTACATGATGCATTTAAAAAATTGGCCAAAAAGTTTGCTGAACTACAATCAAAAACAACAGAAAGACAATCAGACTTATCAGCATTACAGTCACGTGCTAATTGGGAGGATCAGTTTGCTCCTGGAATGCAATCATTAAATGATTTAATTAATGAGGTTGACAAATTCATTTCCGAAAAGGCCAGATGGAAACCTGATTATACTACCCATAGTGGTGGCAGTGGTGGTAATAATGATGACAATGATGATAATAATAATGGAGTTGATTATGAAGATGTAATTATTTCAAATGAAATAGAAGCCACCAATGACCCAAAACAAGGATTAAGAAGTTTTACTGTAAAGAATATTAATGAAAAGGAAACAGGTGATGATTTTAATGATAGTACAACCGCTTCAATTGTTTCTGATACTATTCCAATTTTGACTACAATTCTAACAAATGATGATAAAACAATTTCAACTGAGAAAGATACAGTATCAGATGAAAAGGACATAAATTCAATTTCAGAAGAATCAAAAATAAATCTGAAACAAGAGTTTAAAATCTTGGCAGAAAAAGCAAAAGAATTTCATCAAAATGTATTGGAACCATTGAAATCATCAAATAAAGACATGGTTTCAGCAATCAAAAATTTTTTATCAAAGAATTGCCCAAAACATTTATTGGATCGTCAATTGTATTTTGAAAAAAAATTTGATTATTTGATGGATAGAGTGGAGCTATGTAAGAATGTTTTGGAACAACATGATGCAATCAATGACTTCTTGAATCAAGCCAATGATATTATTGATTGGGTAAATCCACATTTAGAAGTTCTTGGTGAAATATTGAATGATTGCACTTTGGGTGAATTTAGTGAAGATAAATTACATGATTTATTGATGGAAGTTAACAAGATTGAATCAGAACAACAAGCCTATACTGGTGTCTATGAACTGGCCAGGAACTTGGCAAATAATTTGATTAATGAAATTATGAAAGAGGCTAATAATAATGATAATAATAATAATGATAATAATAATAATAATAATAATAATAATAATAATAATAATAATAATAATAATAATAATGGAGATATTGATATTGGACTTGAAGTAGTACAATTTAAAAAAGCAGAAGTTGATGATTTATGGCAAGAATTACAAGATTCTATACCAAAAACCAAACAACAATTGGACCAAGCATTACAAGTAGCAGATTTCAAAGAGAAAATCAGAGAAACACTTTTCAAGATTGAAAATTTATCCAATATAATATCATCTTCATTGGTGGATGAGGTGACCAAGGATAACATCAAAGATTGGCAGATTGAATTGAATGGCTTAGAACAGACTGAATTGTTCTCATTGATTAAGCTACACGATAATGTTCAAGAGAGCCTTTCAATGAATACTGGTCCAATCACTGAGAAAGAGTCAGCTGTTCTTGAGAATTTATTAAGAAATGTTGCGAATAAAATTAGTGATCTAAAGAAACAGATGAACAAAAAGATTGATGAAGTTGAATCATGCAATTCAGCACAAATCACTACATATTTGACTAAGGTTAATGACTTGCAAAGCTGGATTGAACAACAATTTGAAATTTTTGTCAATGGTAAATCACAACATGGTGTAATGGTAGAAACATCAGAGCAAACAAATAAAGAAAATCTTGAAAATTTGTCTATAATATTTAGTAATTTCCAAAAGCAATTGTCTGAGAAATTTGAACAATTTAATAGTATAATAGAGGAATTTAATAATATAACATCACAAGAAGGTATACATGAGTTGCAAGATGTAATTAAGTCACAAACTGAGTTGAGTAAATTGTGGGAGGATTTGGATCTAGGATCTAATGAATTCAAAGATTTCATCAATAAAGTTGGTAAATGGTATGATCAACATGATATGATATATCGTGTAGAAAATGATATTTTTGTTGGACTTGGAGACCGTATCAATAAATTAGTTAGTATGAATTATGACAATTTAGAATTTGAAGTTAAAGAATTAGATGATAAATTACAAAATGCCAAAAAAATGCTTGAGGAAGCTAAAATTGGTGCTAATCACGTACTTGATGTTGAAAATGATATTTTAGATAATACAAATCGTCAAAACTTTAATAAACATCATATTGGTGCTGCTGCACAGCTTACTGAATTATCAAATCGATTTCAAAAGGCATTAACGGAAGCTCATAATGCTTCATTATTGGCAGCATTCCGTGCTGATGCTGATAGAGTCATTGGCTCATGTTTGGAGGGTACCTCAATAGTTAAATCAAGACATGAGGAGTTTAACAGCACTGAATACTATTCACTAGAAGCTGACGCATTAAAAAGTTTGATTAATGACTCTGTGATTGGATTTTCAAATAGTGAAGAAACACTGGAGAAATTTGAAGCACAAATTAATGTTAATTTGAAAGCTGAGGCTGATAGATTGATTGGAATGAATCCCGAAGCAAATAAAGATCGTGTATTGAATATATTCAATAAAGTTACACAAGCATTGGGAAACTATACAAATAGTATTTCAGCTGAAAAAAATGAAATTGAGACGGCCAGAAAAATTTATCCGCATGCCAAGGCATCAGAAGATGTCAAGAAATGGATTTCATCTTGTAAAATGGCTGTATTAAATATCCAAGCTGGTGCTTTAGATCAAGAAAGAGAAATTAATGAGCTAGAAGAAAAAGCAATGAAGTTTCAATCTACTGTTGAAGCTTATAGAGACATGAGTCGACAGATTCTTTTGCCAACCATCACTGATAATATTATTAGTAATAATAACACTTACAATATTAATGAGGATGGCAGTATTGATAGATTAAATAATGTAAAACTACAACGACAGCAACGATTAATAGAATTTGAACCTAAAATTAAAGATGCAGTAGAAGCTAGAACAAATAAAGTATTAGATGATTGGTGTATGTTAACAGATTTATTGGGTAACTTAAGATCAAGTTTGAATGCATCCAAAGAGGCACAAGAAGTCTCAAGAGCCATCAAAGACATCTTGGTATCAATCGGCCAAGTGAAAGAACGAGTTTTGAACGTAGAGTCATTTTTTATTGGTGAGGGAGTACCAAGATTGCCAACTAAAGATGATGTTGAAAATAATCTAAAGGAACTTGATGAAATACAAGTTGAAGTTGATCATATACTCGGACTAAGAATTGAATCATTAGATGAAATGATTGGTAATTTATTAGAGAATGAGACCAGCTTTGTTCAACAACGTTCAGGTATAGCAGAAGCATTAACAAATTTAGCAGGGATAGTGTATAACAAACGATCACAGTTACATGAAGCAGAGAAATTGGCAATATTTGGTTCTAAGGCAGATGAAATGAATGCATTGATGAGCTCACTGCTTGAACTTGTTGATATAACCACTAAAACAGATGATGGATCACCATTATCATCATTACCTAAAATAGAATTGAATACAAGATTGACCGAATTGGAAACAAAATATGCTTACTATCAGCCTAAAACAGATCAGAAATTAGAAGATGCAATACGAGTATCAGAACCTGTTAAAGATGATTGGCGAGTCTTGGATCGTTTGGGAATTTTGAAAGAACAATGGCTAGAGTTGATTGAAATGGCAAATGTTAAACAAGATGAATTAAGACGATTATTGTCTGGACAAAAGGCTAGGACTACAAGACATGAGAGATCCAATTCTCAAACACTATCAACAGGTAGAGCATTTTCACCAAACAGAAACACCAGATCATCATCAGCAAGACCTCCATCACGTAAAATAAAATTAATATTATTTTTTTTTTGTCAATTTAATGGTTTTTAAATAATAATAATAATATGATATTTTTGTTGTGTTTTAAGCCAGGAAACGTGGAGTGGTATCACCAGGATTAAAATATCGTCAATCGTCATCCAGACTTAGTCCATCAAACACACCTAATAGATTAACACCAAGTCCAGTGCCAGGATCACCAGGATCACCAAAGAGACCAGCAATAAGACTATTGCCACATACAGTTAATAACTATATACCTGATATAAAAGACCCTTTGGATGTTGAACTAGCAAGAATAGTTAATGCATGCCCAGTGAAAATAAAAGTTACCATGGTGGAAGGTGAACCTGGAAGATATATGTTTGGAGAGATTGAGCCCAAAATTTGTTATTGTCGTATTTTAAGAAGCAGAATGGTAATGGTTAGAGTTGGCGGAGGATGGACTGAATTGTCAAAGTAGGTGACATAAATATTTATACACAAAAAAAGAGAGTGAAATTAATAGCAATGATAGTAACATTGTCAAATTGCTTTGATCACTCTTTACTAATCGCTTATATTATTACTATTCATTATTAATACTAACAAATGTATTATTTTTTTACTTTTAATTGATAAATTTCTCCTAAAAGATTCCTTATTGGTATGTACACAGATTTCTTTTTGTGAAAATTGTATTGTTGCTGTTGTTGTTATTGTATATAACAATTATAGGTAACAATTATTTCATTCTGCCACAATAGAACATGCTAGCCTGGAACTAAAGTTTATTCCCAAAGCACAATCTTTTATCCATACTGATGAAACAGAGTCAAGCAGCTACGAAGGAGGAGCAAAAACATATAAATCCTTTGATGGCCCCAGTTTCCACGAGGCAAACATCAGATTAGTCTCGAAATCTAGACCAGAGATCAGGATTGAAGACCCCACACCAAACCTCAATAATCCCATGGCGTTGAAAAAAACGACTAATATTAGAAAAGTGAGTAGTAACAATAGTAGTGGTAGTAATAATGGTAATAATAATAATGAACAAAACATTGATAGATATCGCTTTGGTAAGCCAGCTTTTCATAGAATTAAACCTACACAAAAATAAATACATTCGTTCTTTATCATACATATATATAGGAATTTAGAGTATTAGAAATATTATTAGTTAGTAGTTTGAATTAGATCATAAATAATTAAATTTCAAAATAATATTTATTGAAAATGTAAAAAGAAAATAATAGTGCATACATTCAATATTGATTTATTTAAAATATTATATACGAATTCAAATCAAAAGCAATACAGTATATTTTATTTTAATTTTATTTTAATAGAAACTATTTTATTATTGTATTTTTATTTTTCTACCTTTTATCTTTTTTCATTGGGTGGGAAGGTGGTGTATTTATTATTATTGTATATTTTATTGCATACCAACATACTTAAAAAATAAAAATCACTAATTTTATTCGTAAATAATTTCCTTTACTTTTCATCAATCCTTTTCATGCATTTCCTACAAAAATTTTCATTATCATTATAATCATCATTCATTATTTCATTAATACTATCTCACACGATAACCTCGGCGTCCATTTTTACGTGACCAACCAACCAACCAACTATTTGATCAATTAATAAGTAATTGATCGTGATCATGATCATCGTCATCATCCTGTTTTACAATCTGTTGAAATGAATCCTCCCAGATTTAGATGTGGATATGTGAGATTATTTTATTTAATACTTGCATACTATTTGTTGACATTAAAATTCAATATTGGAAACGTAGTGGCAATGGGGGAGTTTATGCAAAAATAAATGTTAAAATAATTATATAATACACGTATAACCTTAATTAATGTTATTCTCGCAATTTGTGAAGTAGATCAATTGCCAATGAATATTTATAATTATTGATAATTATAGAAAAATGATTTGTTCATTTATAAATACTTATCAATATTAATAATCAATCGGTCTCGTGGTGTAATGGTTATCACTCAGGACTTTGAATCCTGCGATCCGAGTTCGATTCTCGGCGAGACCTTGAAATGTTCTGAACGAACAACTTGATCAGAAAATTTGCTCTGGGGAGTCCCTTTTAAACTTGATGCTCTCCTATTTACTATCATTGTTTGCCCATACCTAAGGCTCGAACCAGGTTGTGATTCGATTCGATTGAATTTTATTATTATTAAAGCAAATACAGTCAAACCTCATTCCAACATAAATCTATGGGACACAGAAGAAATTTCACCGTTTCAAATTTTATATGTGAAAGCAAAAACTCGTTAATTATAATCCGAGGTTTCTGAAATAATATTTTTCATTGGATCAAATTATTTGTACATGTATATATTTATTCAAATCAGATTCGAGTCAAATCATGATTCATTGATTAATTTATTAGAAGCCATATATTGAATCATTGGATTAATTTAAATAGTATTATAGATTCGAATGAAACGAATCAAAAAATTAGGCGATTCGATTCGTATTCGTCGTATTTGATTCATTTCGATTTTTTCTTTTGTTTTATGCTTGTGCTGATTTTGCAGCAATGTTGTGGATTGTCAAGATCATGATTTTGTTTTATACTAGTAATTTAAATGAGTGAGGGGTGAATTACCCTTGTAAAGTGCAATCATAAACAAAACCACTAAAGCCAAGCGGTTGATAGACTTTCTTAGTTTAATGACCTACTCTTAATGATATGGTATGGTAAATACTGAATGAAATGGTATTCTTCATTTATTAAAGAATTGTTATTAAAACTAAGCTTCGCCATAATATGGTTATCATATTAAACAAGTTCAATTAATAATATGGTACTGATTGCACAATTTTTCAAATATTAATATATGATTTGGAAAGTGATCATCAGTTAAAGAAACATCTCTATTCAAATGAAAGTTCAAAAGGATACAAAACTTCACATTAGAACGAAATCAAAAAGGGAACGGAAGAGCGTCTGGAAGATTATACACAACAACAAAGGTCATGGAATAGAAAGTGTTTGTGCCAAGAAAGGTATTCTGGATGCAGGTGTTATATACATTGGAACTTTGACATTATATTTTAATAAAATGGTTGAATCAATTGATCCAAAAGGTTTAATGAGACATATTGTGACTTTTGTTTATATTACATTTGCTATTGATACAATTGTATTATAATCGATCAGTTATTTAGAATGCACCGGATCTGGATGTACATTATATAATATACTAATTTTTGATATAATGTATTTATATTGTCAATTAATCTGTTTTTCTTTAATTTAGGATTGAACTTTACCACAACTGACACAAAATTTTGACGGTAATTATCAAAATTCCTGGTACCGGAAAAAAATTGGTAAGAATATTGTAATTATTAGCTCTCCAAAGGTAGAAAGACTTCATATACAAAATATGGTGTTGGGGAGAAAACCGCTAAAAAAAAAACACAAGCACGACACTCCTAGAGCGTAGACATTTCAAATATTTAAAATGGGTTGGGGCGTTGGACTGTGATAATAGTCATTTAAAGATGAATATATGAAAATGAAATGGAAAAAGAAAATATTGGCAAAGAACTCAGTGATATGATCAAACTAGCAAGAAATCCTATACGAATCAGTGTGTGGTGCGAGACATTATGACACATCAAGTTCTGTGCCATTTAAAAATTTATTCAAAAATTAATCGATACCGATTTTTTTTAATTCATCAATTTCTTCTATAACGTTATCTGATGAGACTTATATTTTTTTTACAATATATTCACTGCAACATTGCTTGCTAACCCTTTCCTGTAACGTTCCATAAATTTTGTGGTTCTTCTTGCATGTTTTCTTGTATATTTCAATGGTGTTGAATCAAAGACCCTAGGAAAATTCTCTCCGTGTATAATTACAATGTTGCCTAACATATCATTTGGAAGCTCCCGATACATTCCAATCACTGTAAGTTTTGAATGAAAGATGATTTTACGACTCCCCTTTCTTTGGCGCAAGGTTCTATAAATCACAATGTTTTAATTTTACGCAGTTTTTATCGTACAATCACGTGATATTATTAAAAAATTTTGGCACGTGCATGATATGACATATGAAAACACATGACTTTAAGTATGTTGCGTATATCTGTATGAAGAGTTTGGGTCGATAAAATCCCAATTTCGTTTGATGACATGATGCCACTTGCAAAATGTATGAATGATTCTAATGAAAAATTTAATAGTAAATCTTATGTGAAATCTTTTTAATGATACTGTTGGTTCTTGGCCTTTATTATTATAGAGTGACAATTAGAGCTTTGAATAATTCAAAAGGTGTCACCCCGAACAAAAACAATTACTATTGAAAAATAAAAAGAAATTAAATTTTTTAAATAAAAATAATAACAATGATTTTATTACGTCCCGGTATCCCGGTGAAATTTGGATACTTTTCTCATATGGAGCCTTGTATTAAAGGAATACAATATATCCCAACCTATTAATTTTCACATTGACAACCAACCCTTTTGTAGATGATGAAAATATTGCATGTGAAAGATCTGAGAAAAAATAACACTTGATAAGATTACGTAATGATTCTACTAAATAATTATTTTTAGAAGCGGATTTGATTGTAGTTGCTCATCAGTAGTCCCTCAAGAAGAATTTGCTGAATTGCATAAAGCCTTCCTAGCTCTTTCTAAGTCTGAGCAAGGTATCCTCTTGATGGCTCAGCTTAAATAATGGATTGTGGATCAATAAGTACTAGCAGATGTCTCAAAAAAGAAATAAGAGGAGGACCTTTTCTGCTGGAATCACGACATACCTCTTTGTCGAAAATCGTGTTTAAATGTCAGGTATATTTTGAAAGTATCAGTAATCATCTGATAAACAATGATCTTATATCAAGAGTTCATGGCAATTCCTGAGTGAAAAACTAAGATGGTAATTGACAAAAATATTGCTGAAACTTCTCATGGATTACCAAGCCCGGGAAGAAAATGTCAATAGAATAGCCCAATCACTTATATATTCTTACCAGAAAAACGAGTTCACAGAGACTTTCTTACAGGTCTTGAAGAAGATAGCGATTTGAAGCCCTTGAAATATGGAGGATATTGAGTAATCAAAAGAACAACAAAAAAATAAGGCACAGTTAATATGATCATGTCGCTAGTGATACTTTATGTAACCAGTCGCTAAAAAATTTGAACTCTATATATATTTTTTAAAAGAAAAAAAAGTATTCGCCATTAATTATAAAAAAAAAAAAAAAGGATAATTTTGTATTCTTATTTGAACTCATTTATAGTATATAATTATAAATATTAAATATACAAATTAATAAAAAATACAAACTTGAATAAAAAATAATCTAAGGGAAAAGTTTTAAATTTAAATTTTTTAGATTATTTTGCTAATTTGTTCACAATATTAATAATAATAAATATAATGATGATAACGATTTATTATTAGATTATAAAAATAATCAAAAATAATAAAAAAACTTTTTTTTTTCTAAATATATTGATTATTTTATATAGTTTACCTAAGATAAATAAATATTATCATAACAATCAATCAATTAATATTTTACCATAAATATCTCCAATATATAACAACTCCAAATATAAAAACTATAAATGCCAAAGGTCCATATTTACGGTAAAGAAGTTGTAGATGAAGATCTCTTGCAGATTTTTTATATTTTTGAGACTCATAGCGAAGCTGATCAGATAAAGAACTCATTTCTATGAATTCACAAAATTAAATGATTATTTATGATAATAGTAAACAATTAGTAAATATTATTATCTTAGTAATAGCGATAGTAATACTATATAAGAATGATAATTACTCTCTAGTCCTTCACCTCTCCATAAAACATTTTCCAAATTTTTAGTCATTATATTAGCAACTTCGTTTAATTCTGTATTTAATCGATCCAGGTTATGTTGTGTTCTAGTGTTTTGGTATAACTTTTTAGTTTTTTGCATAAAAGTATCTATTAAATCATAATCGGTTAGATATTTTTAATATAAATAATATATATATACACATATAATATATAATATAATATATTTACCAAATTTAACAAACGCATAAGGTCTCAAAGTTCGTTTTTCAACTTCATTTCCATAACTCATTGAAAACTCTTTTGAAAGTTCTTCCAAATAACTAAATGCAAATTGACGTGGATATGACTTTTCACAAATTGTCATATAACAAACTCCATTTTGAATAAGATAACTGTTTTAATGAATTACAACATTATAAAACAAATAATTAATATGAATTGTGATTAACTTAGTTACAAGCAGTAAATAATTTAATTTCTTACTGAAAAACATAATTTCCCGATTCAATTGAACATCGTTCTTCAGAATTCTCATTCATTTTTTTAAATAAAAGCTTGGCTTTGTTTTTATAATCTGCAAGTTCTGCTTCATTAGACTAATAAAATAATAAATACATTAATACCTTAAATCCAATTTTATTTACAAACTATTCGATCCAAGCAAAGCTTCAAATACCTGATCATCATCAACTGAGGCTGCCAACGGAAGACCTTTTTAAACAATTTACAATTGTTAATAAAAAAAAATAAGTCTTTTTGTTGAGGAGGAAATAAAAAATAAGTACCATCAGAGATTCTAGCTATTACTGTGTGTTTAACCATTTCCTTGTATATTTAAAAAAAAATCAGAAAATTTGAAAAGTTTGCCGTGTCACATTTCCTTAAATATAGTGCAGATCATCTATACTCGAGGGGTTAAAAAATTGAAATATCATGTGATTCACTCGCTTGTTGGATTAAAAAAAATATCACCATTTAGAGCTTACGTACGAACCGATTCGTCAATTAAATTCGCTGAAAATCTTTTAATTAATATTAATATTATAAACCAAATATCCGAATGATTTATTGGTTCGTGTGATTCGAACATTCGAATCGTTTATGTAATTCGAATATTCAGATATTCAAATGGTTTGAACGATTCGAATTATTCTATCCCAAGATTACTGATCCGAATCTGGTTCGAACTCGAATCGAATCCGAATATTCGATTCGGCCGGTAAGCTCTACCACCGTTCAATTCAGTTATTCAGCAATAATAATAATAATTGTCGTGTTACCGTATCTTGAACTACACGGCCAAATTTGATAATGATGTCCTTTTTAGTTTAAGAAAAAAGAATATAGGGACATTCAGTATGGTATAACTCTTGCAGAACGTATGGTATGATTTTATTACACTTATCCAATATCATACCATACGTTCTGCAAGAGTTATACCATAGTGAATGCCCCTATACTCGATAATAATAAGTTTTGACAATAAAATTTATTGGTTAAAACTTTTGATAGGCGATTATTCTTGTCTTCACCTTTTTTAGCAAATTTCGAGTTGTACGGGAAATATTCAAAATAGAGATCTACACCTTTTGCATGAAAGGAAAACGGGCAGATGTGTGTAGAATTCTTTACAAGGAACTTTGTCACCTTATAATATACCCGATTTTAGATCTTCTAAAGTTTGTTCAAAATGCAATGTGATGACACTAGAAAATATACGTGAAAAGATTGATGGAAGGCTTTGTATTCCTCTGTATCCTGTGCTCGACTGCAACATAGCCTGGAATAGAGATGCCAGTGCCTCCAGAAATTTTACATTGCAACTTATATGGTAGCAAATGAAAACAGGCGATTTCTATTCTCATACAAGCAACATCAATCATTAGCTAGCTTAACTCTAGCCAAACACCTTTCTACTTGTTTAATAAGAACATGGTATCAAATAGTGAGATCGAAACTATAAATTTTTTATATGTAAGCTCGTGTAAAAAAAATCAACTTATATCAATGGAGTTTTTGTTCAGTAGGATCTTAATCTAAAACGAATTTTTGTACGCATTTAAAATAAAGAAAGTTGCCTTAGGCAGGATAATAATAAGCATTCAACATAAATTGTTACACGATATTTACCTTATTTTCCATAAGTTGAAATTGCCTTTATCCAAAACACTAATGTATCACCCAGGAAAAAGTCTATCATTAGAATAGAACTATATAAATAATTCCATGAAGCTTTTTAAAAGAAACGGATTTTTATGACATGGAAATTACTGTTGGAATGGATGAAGGCATTAAGATCTTTGAAACCCACTCTAATGTTTTAAGAGCGAAAATATCTTATTTTAACACTGCTTTATCAAAATAATTGAATCAAAGATCCGGTAGTGGCATTTATTCTTTTCAAAAGAAATCCATAAATATTTGATAATAATAATCAACAGAAAATAATTCATATATATTTCTTGTTAAATCCATTATTACTATTGCAGATTGAAACATGAATCTTCAGACTTGTGATTATGATATTCACAAAAGTTCATCACAACATGGTTTGCTTCAAATTAACGATGTTTTTTTATAAAATCGAAATAATTGAATAATTCCTTTCTGTTCTGAACTATTTTTCGATACAATGATTTTAAACATTAACTCTTAAAGATTAGTACTTTATTACTAGTGGGATTCATGGAACGATAATAACATCTATAAATATAACACTAAATTTGAAGTTTCACAAAATATCTGCAATCGCGAAATTGATTTCTAAAATTGCAATTTTTGCGGATAACAACAGGATTATATTTGAAATGACATCTATCAAATATAATAAAATATATCCTAATATTTAAATAATATGTATCTAACAAAACTTGTACTGCGAATTATAATTAAATTCTCGTTAAACGGATTTTTATATAAACATATAAATTCTTTTAAATGATTTTCTTATGTGTCGTGGCAAAGTTTGACTGTAATATAATTTAATTTAATTCTCCTTCGATTAAATTTCTTGAGAAATGTTAGACCATTCTTATTGGAGTTTGATTATTTTCACCGGTGATAAAATCATTTATAATTTTACTCATAATAATAATTTTAAAGATACTAATCTCTAATTTAATTAAATTTGAATGCTAGAAAAATAAAATGGTCGTCATGCTCAATGCTTTCACTATGTGAAATTTTTGTGAAAATTTTTTCTGTCTTTATATAAATCTTTCTCTTTTAGACTGTCAAGGACTCTTTCTACATATAATTTTGGAGATTATAGGTGTTGCTTCCCTTCCTAAAAGGATATTATAAGTCTCGGCACCAAAACCTGCTAGCCTTTATGAAAAATTAATATATGGAGGAACTTCTTTTTGACACTGCAGCTAGATATAGGCAGTCATATATATTTTGAAAGGATTCGCAATTTATCATTTAAATCAACTCCACCAATGAAGTTATCCACAATAATTGCCCATTTATTGAACAATTCACAAAAAGAGGATTCTAATTAGTTGATTATTCTAAAGGACCAAGTAAAATAGGAAAGCAAGCCTACGAATTAGAGGTCAATCAATAATAACCTTGGTCTGAATCAGCAATCACAAGAGAAGACTAAAATAATTAATAAAAAGCTCAAAGATGATAGCTCATGCCAAAAATAATAACAAACAAAAAGACAAAATAATTATAACATTAACCAATGAATAAACTCAAGTACAAGCAGGGAATTGGTTATCCAGGCCCAATCAGACGCAAACTAGTGACCACTAATAATAAAACTAGAGAACTAAAGAATCAAGATGAGGAAAAAGGAAAAGTAGAAGCTTGCAGGAAATTTTTTTATATATTATGTATTACTATATAAATAATAGAAGAACATAGATCTTGGTGGTAAAGTAATTATTTAATATCTGCAACATTAGCTGAAAGACCAACTCCAATTAATTGTTATTCAATATCGTTATTAATAATATTTAAAATATGTTTAAATGATACATGTGATATGTTAATGATAGATAATATCTAAATGTTATGCTAATAATACATACAAGAAATAATACACAAGAAATAAAATTATTAATTATTCATTAATGGCGAAAGGGCAGAAAAAAATATTTGAAAAGGGGGAAATTAAAGGAATGGAGAAAGTAACAAGGGATTATTGAATTACTATTTCTTGAGAACAATTGGCACTACAAAAACAAAAGTTTTAAATTAATAAGCTTTCTTTGTAATATATATAATTTTTCATTATTAAATATTACTCACAAATAATAATCAATAATAAAATAATTATAGCAGAAGCAATAATAATTCTCATTTTCATATCTTTCCACCACATTTGCTTTCGTACTTTATTTGCTCCACGACGAAATCCTTGAGCTGAAACTGATAAATTTTCTATTTTTACAAAAAAAGATTTTTCACGGTTAATAATTTAATATTGACAAATTTTTTTCTCTCTATTCCACGTAAAAATATTTACCAGTTTTGACATGTAAAGTATCTAATCCCTCTCCTCTCTCAGCAACAGTTTTAAGGTTATCACGCATAATTCCTACTGTCTCATCGATTTGTTTTTGGATTTCCACAGTTTTTGAAGGTGGGCCGCCAGCAGTACCTTCCTTAGGTAAATATGGGTCATATGGTCCAGAAGACCTATTAAAAAAGAAAATCAAGTATTACTAATGTCATTAATGTCTGTTTCTTCAGTCAATGAAATAAAATCTTTTCGTTTTTCAAATTAGTTTCTCCAAGCAAAGTTTCAAAATGCTTTCTTTATGTAAGCTTTATGTTCTATATATCAAATAATACATACATTTTGTTATTTCAGTGATTCCTTGGAGAGAATATCAGATAACAAATCTTTATTATTTTTTTTGAGGAAGAAAGAAGAATAAGAATTAATTAAAAGTTTTACATTATTATATTAATATATTAATATATATATATGGGAATGAAACTAATACTAGTACTAGTTTAGTATCACTATTAATAATATATAGTGTCACATGAATATAAATTTATTTTCGGATTAATATAAAAAATTGTATGACTGATTACAACTCATGACGTAAGGTGTTTATAACCTTGCCTATTCATCCTCATTTGAAAACTATTAATAAACACTCAATTTAAGCAAATGCTTCATTGTTCCCTTTTTATATATAAAAAATATAGTGTCACCATATTTGAATATACGTTAGTGCTAGTTTTTATGATATTTGGACCAAGTTATTAATTACACGGTGCATCTTGTTTAATGGACCTCGATTTACGGACTTTTGGGGGCTCACTCATAAACTCATCAATTCGACATTGTCTTTTTAATTATTTGACAGTTTTAAAATCATGAACTTTGTTTTTTGTTTTCTAGATGCAACCGAAATTATTTAATAAGTTTCTGTTATCGCACGTTTAATTAAAATAAAAATTGTCTCTGTTAAACCTTGATATATATTTATTTATTATTATCATTTTATTTTTTAAAGCAACAAAAGTACATGAATTCATGTTGGAGACGAAAAATTTTCAGATTGAGAAAATTCGTGTACAATAATAATTTTATCACGTGGAATTCGCGTGACTTTTGTTGACAAATTATTGACGCGCTTCTAAAAAAACTTTTATCATAATGACAACTGACCCGTACTATACAATGACTACTATTAGTAATTTGAATACTCTTCCTGAAATGGAAATACTTGCCTCTTTAAAAGAAATTGGTATAACATGCGGTGATCAGGAATTAAAGAAACCTTCTAGTCAATTTGTGATGGAGTTGTATGAAGCCATATTAATCAGTTTAGCTACTGTGACCAAAGAAACATGGGGCAAGAAGGACTGGTGTAATAAACTTGACGAAACTATGAAAATGACTAATGGAACAGCAGTAAGGAATATTATATCAAGTGTTACTTGGTAGAAATTATATTATTTATTAACTAATTATTATTAATTATTAGCAATTATATATACAAAGCATGGAAGCAGTAGGATTATTCAATAGAATGTAATAATTATGATATTATTATATATAATATTTTTTTTCTGTATAATAATAACAATTATTTATACCATTGTGCATTTAGTAATAAAATTATGGTGGCAAGTGGTATTAAAGACTTTGGATTTAATGATATTGTTCGACCTGAACCAAAACGCCTTCGTGGAATACTCAGTGCAATCATTAATTTGTTAAGATTTAAAGAATGCAAGGCTGATTTATCAAAAAAATATGAAGATGAATATGTAAATATATAGCTTAACTATTATTTGGTGTTCATAATAATGATAACTGTTTATGTTCAACTATTTATATTTAATTGTTGTTATTATTATTATTATTATTTGCAAGAACAATTATCTTGTAGCTAATGCAAAGCTAACAGAAAAATCTAGCTCACTTCTTGCACAGTTAAATAATTTAAAGTAAGTAAATAAATATTAAGTGATTGATTATATTTATTTATAAAGTTATGCAACTATTTTTATTAATCTTTATTATTGCTATTGTGAAGATTATGCCGTAAAGAACAAGAGCCTGAAGTATCAAATTATCAGAGAGAGAATGCAAATCTTACAAGTAATATGCGAGAAATTAAAAGACAACAGCAATCATTATTAAAGGAAATATCTAATCTAAAAGCTGCTAGACTTGAATTGATTGAAAAGATTGTAAGTTGTCACTGAGAAAATAGAAAAGAGTATGAAAAAAGTGTGAATGTGTGATCAAAGAGAAACAAATAAATTTAATTTATTATTATATTAAATGATTTCTTTATGCACTTTCTATATTTAAGAATAATACTAATTACCATAAAGTAACAACACAACAAATCATTGACAAACTTAAAGGACGCATTGTGTTAAATCCAGACAAAATTAAACAAGTATACTTTTACTATTTATTACTATTATATCCTTATTGCTATCATTATACAATTTATTATTATTTATTTGACTTTTATGATTTTTTTTTTTTTTTGAAAAAAAAAAAAGAATAATGAAGAGCTAAACAATAATTTATTACGTGAAAAAAAAGAACTTGCACTATATGAGAAAACATTTAACGATCTTCAGATTAAGATAAATATGTTAAACATTATAACTGAAGTATAAAAAACTTATTTTATTAATTAATTTAATAAATATTTACTCTCTCATCTGACATTATGTAAATTTTATTATATCAAAAGGAACTGACAGCATGTATAACATTCCTAGATGAAAATATTAACCTTTTGCATAATTCTGATAAAGAACACAAAAAACTTATGGATTTGAAAGAGGAAGTTGAGAAAAGGCGTCAATATGTTTGCGATATACAAAACAAGCAACAGGTACAATTATTTTTGATTTTTTGATTATTTATTGACTGATTAATTATTGGATTTAATTAAATTTTCTGATTAATTAATTAAATTAGAGGATGATTCGTCAAAAGAATAATTTAGAGGAAAGAATTACAAGACAAGCTGAAAAACACAAAAGTAAAGTAGCAGAGAAGGAAGAGAAGGCAGCATATATGCAAAAAAAATATGAGTACATACAAGAAAGACGTAAGGAGATTGAGGGAAAATCATTGGAAGAAAAATCATTCTATGATGAGGCACAAAATAATGTAAGTCTACATACATATTTATACTCTTGTTAGAAGAAAGTCATTAATACTATATGATTATTTAATTAACAACTGTAATTAATTAAAAGATAAGAGAATTGGTTCAAGCTTGGGACAGAGAGAAAGCAGAAGTTGAATCAGCTTATAAAGGAATGATTGATCAAATTCATAATTTTGAACAAGAAGCTCTTCAAATATTACAAAGTATTTCAACACAATAAAAAAAATTTTTTAATGTTCAATTGCTCTTTGCTCAATCAAACATTTGTCATGTTTTATTCGTTTATCTATTATGTTTATAGAATTTGGTAAAATACATTTATTAGTATACAATTTGAACTGTGAAATACTTATCAAGATCAACTATTTGACACCACTAATAGGTATTTCATAGTAAAAAGTCCAAAAATTGATCATTTCAGATCTATGAATTTAGAAGTTTGGCTAAACAATAATAGCAGCTATTAGGATATTATCCCTTCCCTCTCAGTCTCTTTCCTTTTTCTTCTTCTACATTAATATTATAAATTTTATAATGTTCGAAAACCTTAAACATTCCTTTGAACACTTTATTTAAAAGTCGATTCTAGAAATAGAATTATTCTTGGGCTTGGATATTTGATTATCTATATGGTGAAAGGCTGGCATGGAATGCTGAATGATGTGATCCAATGGAGATTCAGAATAGTGTCTGGCAAGTCAGGTTCAAGAATTTTACAGAATTCCATTACAGGTTTTGGAAATCTAATGGCTTTGCTCTAGCCTGTTGAAGCACTTTCTATATTAAAATTTTAATCGATTCCCTGATGGGTTTTGCAAAATAGTTTTTGACTACGTAAAGAAAATTTTCATAGGAATGATTAGGAATGGTTAACTTTTGTTAAATGAATCTAGCATCTAAATGCAATTTATTTACTTTGTTTACCAACCCTCTGTAAAAAAGAAATACATGTCAAACAACAGCATCAACTGCTTATTTGTCTAATCAAAAAATCATCCAGAAAAAAATGTCACAAGTTAAAGGTAAGTTGTGATTGCAAGTATTTGTGATCCTTGAATTATTAATATTTATTAATCTTGGCTTTTTCAATATTTTTTTATAGATATCAGGATTATCAAATTTAATTAATGTAAGACCATTAATCCAATTGTTAAGGAAAACAAAAATAATTTGTCTGTTGGAATACTAAAATTCTACAATAACAACGACAAAAATAATAATGATGATGATAATGATAATGATCATGATAAGGATGATGAATTTAAATGGTTTCTTTGATATAATTTTAGGATGGAGTTATGATACTATTATCTTAAGGATTTTGTTATATTCAAATGGTCATTGCCCGATTTTTAGAATATCGCATATCGCAAAGTATTAAACGAAAATGCCAACCATCAATGGTCATTTTTTGATTATTGTTTTGGAGCTTTGTTCTGGATTTTTACATGACCAAATAGTAAGAAATTCAGGGACACCATAATATCCAAATAAAATAAGAAAAACGATATCATCCATCTATTATGAAATATGAAAACCAACAATTCATGTATTTTGGTTGTCTAAAAAGTTTATAGTATAAAAATTGACATGAAATAACTACGGATCACTTAAATTGTTCTTTTACTTAAATAGTTGTTCATGTAGAAAAACAAATAAAATAGATAGATTGCTTATTTTATTATGTGTTTTCCAAATGTGAGCATCTGTTTTAGAGATTGATAATGAATATTTTATAATTGACTGTTATGGAAGAAGAAGAAAGGGATCCTGGAAAAGGTAAATCCTTAATTTATTATTATCATATATAGATAAATATGTTTATAGGACACACGCACACACACGCGCAAAAAAAAAGGAGCTCAATCACTAAAATTTTTCCACTACCATTTGGACGATTTTATTTTCCAACTCTGCTAAATGTTCTTATTTTTGCTTGTCAGGGCAATATATCGAATTGGTTCTTTAAAAGTTTCATTTTGCATGATCTTAATCCTTGAACGATGAAATTATTTATTATGAATATGCATTGCATATTGTGGTGTTCGATGGCGGTTGATCATCAAACATATGTTACTATTACATCAATATAACAAATTATTATGTGCGGATTTTTTTAGTATCTTTATCATATATTTCAATACATTGTAAATGTT